TAAAACTAAATACAAACTACATAAAATATTACAAATAGATGTGACAAATGTTTTAGGTGAAAACCTTAAATAGAAAACAAAATCCATCTACGGCAAAATCAGCGCGTATACACATGGTATTCACCTAGTATCCAATAAAATAAGCATGTCTTTACAAAATCAATAAAATAGATTAAAAAAAAAAAAGGGGGACGAAATTAAACCACAAACAAGAAATATAGTTGTGATAGCATAAAACTGGATATAACACATAATTGTAAATTATAAATCTTCAAAGCAAAGTCATATATCACAACCAGTGAGGACCTTTCGAAACGACGATGTTGACTGTCGTTTTGGTGGGGCGAACTGAAACTGTCAAATGCTTGGCAACGTGGATTGCGTACCTGTGGAACAAGGGATCCATAATAGATTCTCCAAAATGAGGAACCAGAATTGATTCACTTATACTTCTTAATTATGATGTTTGCGATATTTTGCCACTGTTTGAACTGATCTGATGATTCGTCGACAACATCTTCACCACTTGCGTAATGAACAGCAAATTCACGTGTCTCTATCTTATTGATCTCAAAGGATCCTTCGCTTTCAATAACATCTTTCACCTCTCCTTTGGTTGGATCATAGAACGGCATGTTGAATGCATCCACCTCTGATTCCTTCACTAGTCCCTGCTCCAAAACATTATCATTTACTATTAAGCTTCATGTACTTTGAACTTCAAATGTGTCATCTTAACACGATCCATCTACATAAAACGGTAAAATATTTTTAACTCATAACTAAATTAACAACTAGTAGATTGATATGTGTCTCTTATATATTACATAATATTATGTTCTTTCTAACTTTAGATTCGATCCTAATTTTCATGTTGCATTAAAAAATATAGGAGTTATATAGATCATACGTACCTCAGAGACAAGGTCGAGGAGGGAATCAGATAAAACTGACCACATGTGGGTGGAAACAATCTCTGTACATAGGATCAGAAGCTTGTCTACCCATGAAAACAAGAACCATACGTCCATTAGGCATTATCTCCTCTGAACGCATTTTCAGAAACAAGGAGAAATCGGTTTGGAACTGGTCCAAGTAACTCTTGTATACTTTTTGAGTGCTTGAACTATTTAGAAACACACTCTTCTTGTTATCATCCTCCTTAAGCCCTTGAGGAACCTTAGAGAGCCAATGAATACTATATGATAAATGAACAAAATGGAGAGACTTTTTTGGGAAAAGCCTCGAGTAAAACGATCCTGGGGTTCCTGACATGAAGCACCTTCCTTTGAGGATTGTTTTTAGACCCTTTTGGAACGAAGGGAGCAACTTGAAGGTCGTGTTGAAGTCGTTTTCTGGAAGATCGTTTAGAAAATAATCGATTTCTGGTAAGTCAGTTCTACCTTTCTGATGGTACAAATCTATGATGGTGTTGACGATTCCGGACATGGCCAAGAACGTGTTTGGACCGGAGGAACAACCCAAATCAGTCACCTTGATATACTCAGGAAAACCCAACTCCACTAACATCTCATTGATGTTCTCTACTACCACAATTTGTGTATCTGATAAAATATCTCTCTAC